AGCAGGAATCTGGCGAAGAACAGCTTTCCCTGATGTCCTCCCACCTTTTAACTATTTCCAGTGCATGGGACTTGCAGAAACAGATGTGTTTCTGTCTCTCTGGTTGCTTCAGGAGGTTTCTCTTTGCTGAACTCTGCTGCTGTGGGAATGGCTGTGCGGGCAGCAGCTGCGCAGGCAGCGGTTGTCCTGTTTGTCAGGGCAGTGAACAAGGTGTCACTTTGGGGGTTTTGGGGGGCGGGGGGTTCTCTCATCCAGGTGAGCTTGACTGGAGTGTTGAAAGGTGTACTTACAGCTGGGTCTGTGCATCTAGAGCGTCTCTCTAAGTCTGTATAGATTCCAGTTACCATGCATTAGCTCGTGTTGTGGAGTTCCCCTTGCGAGCACACATGAAATTCCCTTTGGATGGAGCTGAACTGCGCATGCAGTCCAAGATCATCCCTAACGCATCCCACCTGCCAAGGGTTATCCTTCCGCAGGGCTGCGCTAGTGTTTGGATGATGGGAAACTCCCTAAAACTGTGGACGGGAGGTCATCAGCGCCCGCTTTGCTGGACAAGTTGGCAGTTTGGGCAGCACCAGTCGCTGGTGTGCACATAGCCAGTGTGAAGGCCAGAACCCTGGTGTGAGGATAACATCTAGAATACAAAAGACACCTCTGCTGAAGAGCTGAGTTATTAATTTATGGTATCCTGAGCTATTGTATTTCGGAAATGCCCTCAGAGGGAGCTAGTCTTGATCTTTCCAGACCCAGTGGACTCCCCTCAGGAAGTTTGTTGTCAGGTTTACAGGCGGCAACAGTAATGGAGCTGAGCTCTTCTGTCGTGATCTGCCAGGCAGGTTTAAGGCTGCTTTCCCTCCTGGGCAGGACGAAGCCAGGAAGGGAGCAGAGGCAGGCGGGGAGGTGCAACGTGCGTTTTTTGCAGGCCTTTCCTGTTCCGCAGGATATCCTGAGGCCCCTGTAACCAGATGGGTGATAGGAGCCAACTGCTCTGCAGGACCTTGGAGCGGTTGCAGCTCAAGTGCTGGTGTCTGGTGAAGGCTGCATGGAGCTGGTCTGGGGTCCCCTTCTGTCCCCGACTTCAGCCCGGGTGCCCTCCCTGCCAGCACAGCTCACACGTCTCTTCTGATGGCCCTCTCGGTGGTGGGTTGACCGGCCCGTCTGTGGGGCACACACCACAAAGCACCCAACACGCCGTCTTTGACTTCTGATGGCAGAGGCTGACCGAGGCCCTGCGAGGTGCCTTACAGGGCTGCATCCTGCTGCAGCACCACCGGGACCGACCTTCGGGTGCCATCGCACTGCGCTCCGGCTCTGACGTCTCCGCGAATAGCCCTTCCCTGCGGGGCATCTGTGCAGCCCGAGCCTCTGCTCTTGAAAATGCTGTTCCAAAATGGTTCAGTCTGTAGTTCCCCTCCAGGCATTGAGGGAAAAGTTATTTGAGGACGTTCCAGGCTTCGCCACCACCTTCAGACTCTGAGCATCCCTCTGTCTGTATTGCTAATGCTCCTCTGCAAGAGGAAGCTAAAACGCCCAAAGAATTAATCATTGTTTTAGGTCTCCAGGAGAAGCTGTCTTCTGCTAAGAGATGGCTTGCGTTTTACGGCTGCTGAAATGTCACCGCAGGAAAAACTGGAGGAGGAGGGAGAGGTGCCTTTTTTTGAGCATATAAAGCAAAGAATAATTAGTACAAATAACAAATGCTGCAGCAGTGACTCACTGTGTGAGTCAGAGGAAGTCATTCCCTCAGTCCTATGCTGTGGTACAGCACTGGAGTTTAGTTTTTTGACCCCATGCATGCTGCTGGTCGCTGATGTATTGTGTGATTGAAGGGGCTTTCAAGCGGCGTTTCCATCGAGCGGATCCCAGGGTGTGCTGGGGCTGCCGCAGCTTTCGGGAATGCCTCCATGATGGGGAGGCACCTTCCTGCCCTCTGCGGCTTCACGGCAGGCTCCAGCGGCTGCGTGCGGGGTCCGTCCTGGAGGCAGAGTCCCATCTCGATGGGCTCCATCTGAGCTGAGTGTGGAGAGCCTTCATCTGCACTTCCACACGAATCTCCGGTGCAGCCGGGGTGGTGAGGCTGGTGTTGATCTTGGGCCACTCCTCACCTGTGGAACACGTACCCTTCTCAGGATTTCTTTCCTGCCTCCCTGCGCCGTGTGTTCACTGGCCCTCAAGTTCTCTCCTTTGTCTCGGAGTCGCGGCAAGGTGTGTGTGTGGAGCTGTGGGGCTCAGGGGCTCCCGGCGGCGGCAGTCTGCGGGGATGGCGAAGCGGAGGGAGGTGTGAACTCCAGCACAGTACGCAGTGGCTCTGATTACTTGATTCTCCTCAGATCACATCAAGGCCATTGAGCAGGGATAGCCCTGCTCTGTTTTAGGGAAGATGCTTGTACGGAGATAAACAGTGTCCTTATTCACAAAAGATGCATCTTTGAAAGAGGTTCTTAGTGTCTTGCAATAGGAGGTCTTGAGCATTTTTGATTAATACATAGAAAAAAGGATCACATGCAGAGGTTGCTTCAGTGCCTTTACTGCTGATGGTGGGCGGCAGCGTTGTGACGCCTGTTGCTTTTGTCTCCTTGCTCCCTGCAGGACGGCCGTACCGTGGAAAACCCAGTGACATGTGGGCGTTGGGTGTGGTGCTCTTCACCATGCTCTATGGCCAGTTCCCCTTCTACGACAGCATACCTCAGGAGCTTTTCCGCAAAATCAAGGCTGCCGAGTACACCATCCCTGAGTGAGTACAGCCTGTCCCGGGGAGGCCCTTCTCTTAGTGCCTGTGCGGGCGGTGCTCTGGGCCTTACTGGGACAGCCGGTGCTGGAGGGGCTTCAATCAAAGCCCCTGAGGGTTGCTGCAGTAATGAGAACAAAGACTGTATGCAGCAGACACCAAGGAAGCAGTAGCAGAGCTGGGACATCTTGTGCAAAGGTGAGAAAGGCCCCGTGCTGCAGGGACAGGGAACGAACCGCCTGGTTAATTCTGGGGTCTCTTGGTCCGAGCAGTGGTGGCTCTGCTCGTCCCTGCCCTCTGCTCCCAGCACGGCCGTCCTGCCGCTGCCCCTGCCCGCCTGGTGCGCTCGGGCTCACCATGTGCTCTCTCTCCCAGGGATGGACGGGTCTCAGAAAACACTGTGTGCTTGATCCGAAAACTGCTGGTCTTGGATCCGCAGCAGCGTCTGACGGCTTCTGAAGTGCTGGATTCCCTCGGCTCCATCATAGCATCGTGGTATGTGCGAGAGGAGGGAGACAGGAACACGGCTTCTCTGGCCGCAGGCTGTGTTATTCCAGCTGCAGCCAGGAGAGACTGCTGCCAAACAGGACACCAGAGGAGGATCTGTGAGAACGGCAAAAAAGTGTTTAAATCCTGTGTCTAAACCATTGGTGTCTGCTGATGGTACAGCCGGAGTGGGCTGTGCCAGTGCTGTCGCTGTGACCAAGGTTGGAGCCCGGACAGCGGTAACGCTGCAGAGCAGTACCGGGGCACAGGCACTGCTGCTGTGCCGCCCGCATCCTCCCGGATTTTTAAAGTCTAACGGTCAGGAATATCTTACGTGTACAAACAGATGCAGCCGAATGCAGGCACTTCCTGCAAGCTGGTAATTAGCGCTGCACGACCCATTAAGTAAAAGCAGGCGTGAGATCTTGGGGGGGGGGGGGAGAGCAGGAGATGCCAGTACGGGTGGGGACACTCCACGTGCAGGGTGGGGATGGCTTTTGAGGGTAACTCTGACTCCAGGACTGGCATGAACCAACTGAGATGAGATTCCAGTAGCACACTGCGGTGGACGTGGATCCTGGCGGTGTTTGCTCGGTGCAGCCCTCTCTTGTCAGCCCCGTGACCCGTCTGTGCGGCACAGCACGCCTGGGCAAAGTCCTCCTGCTGCCTGTTGAGTCAGCAGCAAAGTCTGTGATTTTTGGAGCTGTGGCTGTTTTCTCTCCTGCCTATGCAAGAGTTAGAGTTCCACATCCTCTTGGGGGGGGGGGAGACAGTTCCGGGGATTTTAACATGATTTCATAGCAGGGAAATTGAATTTGGAAAAGCATCCTTCAGTAGCAGTAGCCAGGGTGGCATCCAGGCAGCGCTGTGCCACACTCTGGTGGCCAGCCGTGGCCAGCCAGGCGGGATGGCCCTGGCCGGGGCGTTGGGTGAGGGTGGGTGAGCCGGGGCTGTGCTCCAGGTCGCTGACGCTGTGTTCTCCCCCCAGGCAGTCTATGTCCTCGCTCAGTGGCCCTTTGCAAGTGGTGCCAGACATCGACGACCAAGTGGCTAACCCTGAAAACCCCCAGGAGGTAGGTTTTCCTACTTCCCTTTCCACAGAACTGCTTTCCCGTGCCCCTGCGCCAAGTCTGTGTGTAATGGAAAGAGATGGCAGCCCCTCGTCCCCCCCGAGCTGGGGAGGGGAGGGCGGTGAGGACGCGGCTGTGTCCATCGCAGTCCTGTGCAGCGGAAGGAAAGGCTCGTGCTGCCTGGCCCAGGAGGCGCCTCCACACGG